CCTCCGGCGACGGCGAGCGGCTCCTCGGCGCCAAGTTCGCGGCGCTCCCCGCGCGCGACGGCCGCGGCGCCGACGACGCGCGCGTCTGGGACGCGCTCTTCTTCGGCTGCGTGCCCGTCGTCGACTGCGTGGAAATCAACCAGTGAGCTGGGACGTCGGGGCCAAACTTGAGAATTCTCTAGCTCGGTCAAATCGAAGTCGATTTGGCTGATTTTTGGACGAATCGATTGCTCTTAGCGAGTTCTCGAAGCACGGCGGAAGTGCTCGTGTCAAAACATTCGCATACGCGCACATTGAAGTCGGGTTGAAGATTTGATTTGCACACAGGTCGTCGAGCACAGTCCCGTCGCCGCGGACCTGCTCCAGTCCCTGCCCCACGTCCAGCTCTCGGCCTGGGCCGACGCGGCGCCCATGAACCTCCGGCGCAAGTACGACGGCTTCGCGTCCAAGGGCGCGCTCCAGGGCGTCCAGCGGCTCGCGAAGGCCTACTGGCGCGACGCGTACAAGCGCGACCTCCGCGGGGGCGCGCTCCGGGGCGGCTTCGGCGACGACGCCGACGGCGCCGCCGTCCGCGAGCTCCACGACCTCCTCGTCGACGCGCGCTGCCACGTGCCGGGCGCGGCCGACGAGGTCTGCAAGCGCGACCGCGCGACCAAGCCCGCGGCCGCCGCGGCCGCCGTGGCCCCGGAGGACGCGTGGGAGCAAGCGTAACGGCGCGGCGCGGGTCAGGCGATCGGCGGGGGGGGGGGGGGCATGTTCAACCAAGGCCTCAACGATCAGTTGAAACGCCATCAATAAAATGGGCTGCCAAAATTCGAGGGATCTGGGTGCCGCCCCGTCGCCGGAGCTCGTCCCGGTGCGGACCGATGCGAGCGCCGCGGCGGAGAAGCGACCCGAGGCCCCGGCGGCGCCCGCCGACGCAGAGGCGCCGCCCGCCGCCGCGCCGGCTCCCGACGAGGCGCCCGCCGCGGACGAGGCCGCTGCCAGCGACGAGGACGCGAGCGTCGACCCGGACGCGGCGCCGGAGGACGCGAGCGTCGACCCGGACGCGGCGCCGGAGGACGCGAGCGTCGGCCCGGACGCGGCGCCGAGAGACGAGGAGCCGGAGGA